GCGCATTGACATTTATCACAATCGATCGTGCCGGCAGTAAAATGTTGCCAAAAAAAAAAAGAAATCACAACTTTTGTTGCCAACAATTTGTATACGCGTGTGTGTGTTCAGTTAAGGAAAAATGTGTTGATAAATTTTGCCAAATATTGCGTTAGGGAAAAAAATTTATTTTTTTTATTTTTTGTGATAAAAATTGCATAAATTCATAACTTGCATTTGAAAACAATATGCAATGTTTTGTTTTTTGTTTTTTTTTTTTGGTATCTTGTCATTGATCCTATAAAAAAAGCAGCTGAGTTTTCTGGCAGTTGTTTTTCGCTTTATGTACGATTATTTTTCATATTTAATAATTTTTATTAAACGTTCTATAAAACACGCCGTTAGTGTCGTACACACAAAACATACTCCGGTTAAGACTACGACTACGACTCCAACTTGAAAGTGCAATATAGTTTCTCTCCTTTTTAAGGATAACTAATTTGTATGCAACACATGAAGTCAAATTATGCTAAATAGTTTTGCTTTGGCTTTGTGTAGTCATATATATTTATTTGGGATTGTATTTCAGTTTTATTAATATTTTGTATTGTTTGGTTTGCTTTGTTTGGGGGAATGTACGATCACGTTCTTTTCAGTATGTTTGAAAAAATTCGACAAATTTTTTAAGGCGGCTTTTTTGACATATTTATGTGTCACTATGTTGCTTTACATGCTTATGAGCACATTTTTTCAAATGATATTCTGATATTATATACTAAACATGATATTAAAATAGTAATCTATAAGGAAAATACTGTGGTCGTTGTTCTTCTGAGTTCGACTTAGAAGAGTTCTATATCAAGCAAATTTTTATTGTCCTAAGGACATTTTTTCAACTCAAATAATATATAAATATTTACCAAAAACGGCTTAAATCTGAAACAGTAGAAGAAGAAATTCCATTCAGTTATTTTATGGAATTAACAACAACAGAGGAGTACTATAAATATTAGTTTTAGGTAAAATAGGTACACTCAGAAGAACCAGTATACGATGAGTAAGAAAAACTTCTGGAATATGAAATTTGTTGTTACAGAACCAGCAAGAAACTTTCAACTTATTCGAAAGCTTTTACATCTAGACTTTTTAGACTTTCTAGACTTTTTGTAGACTTTTAAAAAATGATGAATGAATGTGTTATTATGTATGTCATTGTTTGATCTGATTACTCTTATTATAGTTGTTACGTTATGTGTGAAGGATTGTACACATTATCCCACACCAATTTAAAACATGTTATATTCTATTAGAGTAAAAGTAAAATAACTCTATATATATATCTCTAATATTAGGTTAGACTATATATCATCATTTGCTGTGATTATTTTTATTATAGTTTGTGCGTTATCCAACACTAATTCCAAACTTTGTTCCGCCAATAAATTACCGTTTAAAAAATAAAATAAAATAAATATTAAAGTTAATAATTGTTATTCAACAAATTTAGTATAAATTTTCATAAATTTAATTTAACATTAAAAATAATTTTTAAATAATTTTCAATTAGAGAAAAAAAACCAATGTGTAATTTCAACACATTTACTATTGTTTGTTATTATAAATAAAATTATTATTTAATTAAAATACAAAGTAATGAGCAATCAATTAATTAGCATTATTCAAAGTTGTTAGTAATAATTTAAGCTTATTAAATGCTACATAATAAAACAACAACAACAACAACAAATAAACAAACAAACCGGCAAGTCAGCAATTCAGCAAAACAGTAGAACAGCAAAAGAGGAGAGGTGAAGTGAAAGGGGAAAAACAGTGAAACATTGTTAAAACGAGCATAAATTCAAAACGTGCTTACGATTTTTGCATATTTAAACGAGTTTCTCGTTAAACTTGGTGGTTTGCAATTTTAGTTTTAGCTTTATATTTATTTTTATTTTTATTATATTTTTATTTAATTTTTTTTACATTTTTTTCTCGTAATAGTTAGTGGTCATTATAAACATTTATGTTAGCAATTTAACATGCCATAAAAATCATTAAAATTTGCCGACTATCAAAGCGTTTGATGTCAATACTTTTGAATTGGAAACATTATATGTGTTTTGCATAATTTGAAAAACTAAAACACAAAAAATTAGAAATAATTTTTTT